CCAAACCCCTGTCCCAGACCCGGTTTTGTCCCCCCAAACCCCATCCCTGGGGCTGGTTTCGTCCCCTGAACCCTGGGGCCAGTTTTGTCCCCCCAAACCCCAACTGTGGAGCTGTTTTTTTCCCCTGAACCCCATCCATGGGGCTGGTTTCATCCCCCCTGAGTCCTGGAGCTGCTTTCATCCCCCCAAACCCATCCATGGGGCCATTTTTGTCCCCCAAACCTTGGCCCTGGAGCTGGTTTTTGTCCCTGGGGGATCCCAGAGATGCTGAGGATGATGGGGGGATCCTGGGGGTGCTGAGGGGGGGTCCCCATGATGCCAAGGGCAGGAGATCCCCATGGTGCCGAGGGGGGGATCCCAGGGATGCCGAGGAGGAAAAGGGGGATCCTGGGGATGCCGAGGAGGATGGGGGGATCCTGGGGGTGCCGAGGGGGGGTCCCCGGGGTCCCCGGGCGCCGTCGGTGACCCCCGGTGTGTCCCTGCAGCAGCAGTGGACGGCAGCTGAGCGAGGTCTTCATCCAGCTGCCCTCCCGCAAGGAGCTCCCCGAGTACTACGAGCTCATCCGCAAACCCGTCGACTTCAAGAAGATCAAGGTAAGAAGAATTCCCTTCCCCCACCATCTCCCAGCCTCGTTAGGGCCGGGTTAACGAGCGTGGCCATGGCCCTGATGGAAAAAACCCAAACCCATCCCTCCTTTTCCCTCCAGGAACGGATCCGGAACCACAAATACCGGAGCCTGAACGACCTGGAGAAGGACGTGATGCTGCTCTGCCAGAACGCCCAGACCTTCAACCTGGAGGGTTCTCTGGTGGGTTCCAAGTCATGGAATCAATCATGGGATCTTCTGGGTCAGAAGGGACCTTCATGGTCATCTAGTCCAACCCCCCCCCAACCAGACCAGGTTGCCCAAGGCTTCGTGGAGCCTCACCTTGAGTATCTCCAAGGATGGGGCCTCAACCACCTCCCTGGGCAACCTGTTCCAGGGCTCCACCACCCTCCCAGTGAAGAACTTTCTCCTCATCTCCAACCTCAATCTGCTTTTCTCCAGTTTGAAGCCATTGCCCCTCATCCTGTCACTGCAGGCCTTTGGAAACAGGTTCTCCCCAACCTTCTTGTAGCCCCCTTCAGATCCTGGAAGCTGCTCTAAGGTCTCCCCGGAGCCTCCTCTTCTCCAGGCTGAACACCCCCAGCTCCCTCAGCCTGTCCTCGGAGCAGAGGTGCTCCATCCCCCTGATCATCCTCATGGTCCTCCTCTGGACCCTCTCCATCAGGTCCATGTCCTTATACTGAGGGCTCCAGACCTGCACACAACACTCCAGGTGAGGTCTCACCAGAGTCAAGTGGCAGAATGACCTCTCTGGACCTTCTGGCAACACTTCTATTGATGCAGCCCAGGATGGGATTGACCTTCTGGGCTGCAAGTGTCCCCTGCCTGCTCCTGTCCAGCTTCTCCTCCACCAGCACCCCCAAATCCCTTTCCTCAGGGCCTCTTTCCAATCCCTCACCCCCCAGTCTGGATTAAGAGCCAGGATTATTCCAGCCCAGGTGGACTTGCTCGTCTTGAACCTCATGAGGTTCACCTGGACCCACCTCCCCAGTCTGTACTGATGGCCAGGATTATTCCAGGCCAGGTGCAGAGCCTTCCACTTGTTCTTGTTGAACCTCATGAGGTTCACCTGGGCCCACCTCCCCACCCTGTACTGATGGCCAGGATTATTCCAGCCCAGGTGGACTTGCTCGTCTTGAACCTCATGAGGTTCACCTGGGCCCACCTCCCCAGCCTTTACTGATGGGGAGGATTATTCCAGCCCAGGTGCAGAACCTTGCATTTGCTCTTGTTGAACCTCATGAGGTTCACCTGGGCCCACCTCTCCAGCCTGTCCAGGTCCTTCTGAATGACCTCCCATCCCTCTGGTGGATCAACACCACCACACAGCTTGGTGTCATCCCCAAACTTGCTGATGGTGCTCTCCATCCCCACGTCTAGATCATTGATCTATATCAGTGTTGGCCCCATCACGGCCCCTTGAGGGACACCATTGTCCCTCCTCTCCATCTGAACTTCCAGCCATTGAGTACCACCCTCTGGATGCCACCATCCAGCCAGTTCCTTCTCCACTGACCAGTCCACCCATCCAATCCCTACCCTCCCAATTTGGCAACCAGGATGTTGTGGGGGGACCATGTCCAAGGCCTTGCAGAAGCCCAGGTAGATCCCATGCATAGGTCATCCCTTACCTCCTGACCTACTCACTCCATCCTAGAAGGTCACCAGGTTGGTCAGGCAGGACCTGCCCTTGGTAAAGCCCCGGTGGCTGCCCTGGGTCACCCCCCTGTGGGGCATCCCTTCATGTGGGGCATCTAGAAGGATCTTCTCCATCATCTTCTTGGGCAGGGAGGTGAGGCTGATGGGTTGGGACTTCCCAAGGTCTTCCTTTCTACCTTTTTTAAGGTTCTCCCCCCTCACCCCTAATTTATACCCCCCTTATCTCTATTTTCCACCCCCTCACCCCTATTTTTTGCCCCCCTCACCCCTATTTTCCACCCCCTCACCCCTA